AGAGTGTTTTTAGAAGACGAACTATACAAACTTTTTGTCAAGGCCGTAGTCTTAAATTGCGCAACTTACCTGTAACAGCGCTATTACTTCAGCCATTGTTGGTGCTAGAATTCTTGTCGTATAAAAACCTGGACCATCCTGGAAAAACAACATTAGACTGTTAAATGATGGTAGATGATATACTGATGAGATATGATCCTTATTTACATCTTCGGAGAAAAACAACGAAACGGAAACAAATAAAATGTATAGTTTTGTTGTTTCGTTTTAAAGTCATTTATCGGGATTTTTAATATCAACTTTCACATTGCCGTTAGTTTACGAGTTAGGGTCAGCTATTAGGTTCTTCATGTAGGACCCACAAAACAATTTGAACAAATACATCAACGGTTCTAAGGTGATCAACATAGGTTATAGTCCTTATACCTAACACAAACCCTGACCATAACTCTGCCCGATTAGGGCCAGAATTCATAAACAGCGAGACAAAAATGTTTCTGAAAATCCAGTTCATTAAAGATTTCCTCGAAGATAATATCATCTTGAAACCGGATAAAGGAGAAGGCGTTGTCATCATCAATCGTGCAGATTACAAAACCTCGATGCAAGCTTTGTATTCAGACCGTATATATAAACGTTTCCGTATAATCAAGGAAGATTTAACCTCCCACCAGATTAAGAAGTATCCATGAATCCATACCTACATCTATCACTATGGCAATTTCTTTATTATTAAGAATGTTATGACATGGAGTGGTGTATTTTCGTACCTTGACAACAATCACTGTTTTGCCTTGTTTTAGACCAACGTCCACCGCAATCGCTGGAATACAGTAAGACAGAACGTTAGATTTATCTTCCAAAGAGGCACACCCAGCACCCATAAAAGTGAAGAGGAAAAAATTCGGGGCTTCAAGGGGGGAAATGGCTTTCAAAAGAGAAAAACGCTTCGATAGAAATGAATATGCAGGGTGTCTGGAAAAAATACAATAGCTGTGTACAGTGTGTAGTAGATTTGTACACAGCTAATTATTAGTAGGCATAAAAAATTCAATCAAAGTGATGAATTTTGACACCAAGATTATACGAATTGGTCAAATCGCTTCTGCAAAATGTATACTGTACTTTATTTTATTATTCATGGTACAAGAATTATACCTGCTGTTTCTTGAGATGTCTTATCCGTGGTTATAATTTCTAACAGTGGCATTTTCTCCACAGGTGAGAAGTAATGCATGCCAACGACCTAAAAAGAGAAATAGGTATTTATATGAGCCCCATATATACGAAAAGTTTATTGGCACTTGTCGAAGCTTGGGCAGCCCCATATAGGAAATGCGTGGTCTTGCTTTGTAAAGAAATGCTCCTAGTTAAGCTTGGCATGAAAAATCTACAATAAATTCATACATAATTTTAAACAATCTTTCAAATAAGACAAACTAAATTTTTAGTTTCAACTGAAAGATTTTAAAGCGCATATTTTGACATTTGAATTTGGAACTAGCCCCGTCGCTCAATACGTCTCAAACTTCTACAGCCACGAAAAACAATTCGACTAAGTTACCTTGTCAGGTCGTTTGCTAGCCTCAGCGATCTAAAAGAAATATTAAAAACATCAGAACATATAGGCGTAACGCTATTGGTAACAAAGTTGGATGTAATATAGAATTAAGATATAAATTACCTTGTGTATTGGTAAAGCTGAAGTATTAGAAGCGAAAACACACGTTTCTGGAATAACCTGGGGAAAGAAATACGAAGATATTTATCGTGATATGATACGTTGTGAAGATATTTATCGTGATATGATACGTTGTGAAGATATTTATCGTGATATGATACGTTATGAAGATATTTATCGTGATATGATACGTTGTGAAGATATTTATCGTGATATGATACGTTGTAAAGATATTTATCGTGATATGATACGTTGTGAAGATATTTATCGTAATAATAAGTGCCCAAACAGAAGACACATTTGTAAATTAGTATTAAGTTGTTACCGTAGACAACGGTTAATTGGGACACCGGGGGTAAATTGGAACACGGTTAAAATAGATGGTTGCCCCAAGTCACCATTTGGCATCTGTCCCAATTCGCCCAGGTGTCCCAAATAACCCCGCGATCTACGGCGTGTAATGTTTTGTCAACCGAATGATCAGTAAGAATATATATTTGGTTTTGCATAATTTGGTCATGTATATTGTTAATAAGTAATAGTGTGGTTTGGGAAAACAAACACTCGTGAGCAGCAAATTGCATTCAAACTATATACTATTGCCTATACTGAATACCTCTTCAATTTCCTTGATAACTTTATGTTTGATGTTGAGATCTTCAAATACAGCCTCGATAACAATATCAATTTTATCAAAACCCTGAAGTGATAACATACATCCAGTGAGCTCGATATATATATATCTGGAGTGACAACTGAGGTGAAAAAAGTGAAGCCAAAATGGCAGAAATTGACGTCCAGTGCCAGGCCCTTTCTATTGTTTTCTGCCTGCGCGATTAACACGAAGCTGCAAGTACCAATATTTCGTTTTTTGACTTCGATTTAAAGAATAATACATGTATAATGTTTTTATAAACTGATATCTTGATTAGCGATATGATCCGTTAGAAAAAACTAGAATTAGCTGGAGAAAAGTCACGGCTTATTTTTAGGCCTAGCTTTCAAATATTTTATTAGCCGCGGCTTATTTTCGCTCGTATAAATGGTCCTATTGTGTTTTTGCCATGCAAACGCACAATACAAGTAACTTATTGTAGTACCTTGTAGTCCAATTGTGCCTGCAGGTCGGATAGCATTCTGTCACGCTCAGCACTATGCAAGTGATAGAAAAATGTAAATTAGCAAACAACGCACTGCTTCATACCGCTGATATATATAAAAACACTAAAATATAAATAAAACTATTTTTACTGGATAGCTCTATCAGTTTTAAACTGTTCTCCCTAGAGGTCCGTGCGGTAAGGATCGTCCCTCATTGATCCAGTGTTACCACAGGATCAAACCTAGCCTAAACTAAATTGATTTATACTGGATAACTCTATCAGTTCTAAACTGTTCTCCCTAGAGGTCCGTGCGGTAAGGATCATCTCTTATTGATCCAGTGTTACCACAGGATCAAAGCTAACCTAAACTAAATTGATTTATACTGGATAACTCTATCAGTTCTAAACTGTTCTGCCTAGAGGTCCATGCAGTAAGGATCATCTCTTATTGATCCAGTGTTACCACAGGATCAAAGCTAACCTAAACTAAATTGATTTATACTGGATAACTCTATCAGTTCTAAACTGTTCTGCCTAGAGGTCCATGCAGTAAGGATCATCTCTTATTGATCCAGTGTTACCACAGGATCAAAGCTAACCTAAACTAAATTGATTTATACTGGATAACTCTATCAGTTCTAAACTGTTCTGCCTAGAGGTCCATGCAGTAAGGATCATCTCTTATTGATCCAGTGTTACCACAGGATCAAAGCTAACCTAAACTAAATTGATTTATACTGGATAACTCTATCAGTTCTAAACTGTTCTGCCTAGAGGTCCATGCAGTAAGGATCATCTCTTATTGATCCAGTGTTACCACAGGATCAAAGCTAACCTAAACTAAATTGATTTATACTGGATAACTCTATCAGTTCTAAACTGTTCTGCCTAGAGGTCCATGCAGTAAGGATCATCTCTTATTGATCCAGTGTTACCACAGGATCAAAGCTAACCTAAACTAAATTGATTTATACTGGATAACTCTATCAGTTCTAAACTGTTCTGCCTAGAGGTCCATGCAGTAAGGATCATCTCTTATTGATCCAGTGTTACCACAGGATCAAACCTAACCTAAACTAAATTTCTTTATACTGGCAACTCTATCCGTTCTAAACTGTTCTGCCTAGAGGTCCATGCAGTATAAGTATCATCCCTCATTGGTCTAGTATGGGTTATCTTTTTATTCATCTAGTGTTGCAAAGATCTATAACAGCAGTATAAAGAGAGTGTAATACAGCATGGCAAGAATATTTGGAGCCCGTTGTTCGAAAGCAGGTTAGGTTCATCCTAGGTTAACCCACGCATTGAGCGCCAGTGCTCTCCCTTGGGAAAATCGGGAATAAAAGTAGGAAACATCAGGGCGCATTGCCACTTAAAGAGTTACAAGTAATTTTCCCAATCTCCTGTTTATACAAACATGGAGTTTTTACTCAGAAATCTTGCCTGGATCGATAACAGAAGTTTTATTTCCTAAAGTTTTGAATTAATGAAATAAACAGACGTGCAGATGTACCCAAACTAAAACAGCAGGTTAGATTTAAGCCAGGGTTAGCGCTAATCCAGCTTGAACAACTAGCCCCAGGGTAGAAAATAAATCTAAAACTAATACCTTGACATAGCTCTCCTTTTAACTCTGGTGTTCAATCTATACAATTTTAAAAGAACGCAACAAAATTTATTTACTATTCAAAAGAACACATAAAACTAAGCCATTTCTTTTGAAGGAGGAACTCTGATAATTTTTTTTAATGGCACTTCTATTTGTATAACATTAGCCTAGTAACATTGCCTTATGTAAAATGTAAATACCTAATCTTATTACCGTTATATTAGCACTATATAATATTATATATTGATCTTAGTAATTAGTAGTTCTGTAATGTAATCTAAGCTCGTCAATTCAGTAATTGTACTGCAAAAGA